GAATTCTTTCTCATAGAAATTATTCCTTAACTAACGCGCCTTTAGTATGATGAAGTGCTCAAGTACGGCTCAAGGATCGTCGATGGGCTATCAAGCTACAAGCAGCCTATATTTGTCTATATAGTTCCAAATGGCGAATTGGTACGTCTCAACTTGGTTTGTAGACAGTATTCTGATAGTCGAAAAGCGCGGTGGTGCTTGGGTCGTACTAGATCCCTCCATCAATCCTACTCATATGCAGATGTATGCGGACGTCGAGGCAAGGGCAGGAGTTCTCGGTATGTTTTACGAGATCCATACTGTTTTTGTTTCCTAATTATCACATAGAACCCGAGGGAATCGTAGAAATTAAAATGCGCAAGGACAAACTTACTAGTCTGATGGAGCGTTTGGATAGTGACTACGCGGCCCACAAGAAAACCAGCTTAGATCAAGCTTGCGACGCTGAAGAACGTTCGGCCGCCGCTGCAGAGCTGTCCAAGCGCGAGAGCGACCTTATGCCGACATACAAGCAGATTGCTCTCCTCTATGCTGACCTTCATGAGTGAGTATCTATACTGATGTTACTGTCACGGTTTAACATCCGCCCACAGTCGAGCAGGTCGAATGGAAGCAAAGGGTTGTGCCAGACCAGTGCAACGGAAGAATGCCCGGAGGCACTTTTTCTGGGCACTTCGCTCTCAATTATCCTTGTCTACAGCTATCTCGAAGCTCACAGCCATCTCTCCCCGATTATCGACGGAAGAGGCTAAACGTCGCATCTTTGATCAAATCCCTCAGGTGTCGCATACAGATGATCGTGCTGTCGCCGAAGCTCTTGAGAGTTTAGACCTTTCCGATGTGGTCGCACAAGTGACAAGTGCTCATGTGACAGGAGAAATCATGTCACTAGTGCAATCTCACCGCAAAGCGGGCCTTGCGGGTTTGGTGGGAGTTGTGAACGCTCTCACCGACGAGGAGAAGGCTGCCTTGGCTGTTGCTTTACAGGGTGTAGCTCCGTCTCCAGGTAGGATTAGCATCCGATCATCAATGATCTCAACTCTGACAAATTACAGCCCCTCTATCTTACTCCGCGCCTTAATGGCTGGACCTATCCGTTTGCTACGTATAATCTCTTGCTTTATTTCCAAATATGGATTACTTGTGGCAACCTCCTCGATATCGTTATCACCGGTTGCTACCGAGCTTCTTCCACGTCCGGCGACTTGCGAAATCTAATC